CTATTTCTCAACAAGGTCTTTTGTAGTACAAGTTACCCTTGAACTATGGAGCTGATAGTTCCATTGAATTTCTGATCCACCCCCCCCTCCACCTCTCAAGCTCCAGGACTTAAAGTGTGCGCCACCCTGCCCAGCTCTCTGTGTATTACTTATTATTGGTCTCAAGCCGCTGTTGGAGGTTCAGTGGCAAGGCAGGTCGGCAGCTGGAGACAGACAGAAGTCCCCTTCTTCCTTCTGTACCCCATACCCCCTCTCAACAGTGCCCTGGAGAAGCCCACTGTGGGCCTAAAAGCACCATGCCCAGATGGAGGGAGCACCCCAGATGGAGGGCCGGGATTGAGGGAGGAGTCAAGACTGCTGGAGGTTTCCCAAGGGCAAATAAGAGCTTTCAGGTCATGGGACCAGAGCCTAGCTCACAGACACTTGTGGAAACTGAGGCTCAGGAGTGAAGAAGTTCCTGGTCTGTAAGTGACAAGTGTAGGACTTGAGAGCAAGCTTTAGACTCCACCACCCTTCCGCCACTGGACACTGCTTCACACAGTGTCCCAGAACTGCCTGGGAGTTTACAGTGTTCGTTACTCTGATGACGTCCCACCCAGGCCTCTAATTCCACACCTCGGTCATTGCTCTTTCTAAACACAGCACCATCACCAGTTCGCTTAAAAAACCCTTTCCATGTCCACACTGACTGCAGTTGAGTGCCCGTCTTCAAAGATGCATCTCTTTTACAAGTAGAAAACTAGAACAGATTCAGTTTTTCTAAAACTCCAGGCTGTACCGTGCAAGATGTGGCCTGCGTCCAAATTACACTGTCCGCCACAGCGGCCACCAGGCTCCCCCACATGCTGCTCCCCCTGTTTGGGGGGAATTGCCCTGCCTTCCTGCTCCTGCAAGACTCACACCATGCCTACTGGTAAACAAACCTAGGGGCCTAAATCAGCTTCACCTCCCTTGAGGTCCTGGGGGAACCTGGACCTATCATAACATTTACACTCCAGCTTAGAACTGTGGGGCTTCTTGTCACCCTTCTACATGAAAGCGAGCTTCCTGCAAATAGATCTTTCAACTCTGTGTCCCCGGTGCCTAGCACGGTACTTGGCATGTGGCAGATCAACATCATTTGCTGAAGGAACATGAACAAACAAATGACTTAGCCAGAGTTACAGAGCTGGGATTTGAATTTGCTCACTCAACAAAAAAGAGCATCTACATAACCCCAAAATGTGAAATCTGAAATGCTCCCAAATCAGAAAATCTCTGAATAGTGAAAGAAGGACCACAGATGGAGAAGTCTGTGTCTGAGCTCATATGATGGGTCACAGTGTAAATGCACTTTAGAAATGTTGTGTGAAATTATCCTCAGGCTGTGTGCATAAAACCTATTTGAAACATAAGTGAATTTTTTTTGCACATTTGAGTCTCATTCCGATATCTCATTATTTGTATGCAAATAATTCCAAAATCTGAAACGTGTGTGTCTGTGTGTTTGTATGTCTCTGTGTGTGTATGTGTGTAAACTCTGAAACACTACTAATTCCAAGCATTTCAGACGCTTGTGTTTTGATTACTTTACTGACTTCATTTTAGTGTGTTGTTGTTGTCTGTTTGGGTTTTGTAGTGTCCGGGATTTGAACCCAGGACCTTGCATGCTGGGTAAGTGCTCTACCACTGAGCTATGCCCCCAGCTCTTGGTTTGGATTTTTTTCAGGCAGGGTCTCACGTGAAGGTGTAAAGGTGATACCTCTAGGAGATGAGAAAAAGCCACCTCAGGGCATGTCTGTGATGACATTCCCAGGGAGGATGTCGGGGAGGCCTGGCCATGGTGGCCTCATCCCATGAGGTGTAGGCCAGGACGCAACGAAAACGGGAAAGGAGAGAGCGAGTGTCGGAACGCTGTCTGCCTGCTTCCTGGCCAACACGGTGTGAGCTGTTGCACTCCATGCCTTCCCATGCCGCAGAGGACTGACTCGTGGAAACTATGAAACCAGATCTTTCCTCTCTTTAAACCGTGTCGCCCAGGTGTGGTCATAGCAACGGCATTTAACACAGGGAGCCTGGCTTTCTCCGTTTACCTCCGGAGTACCGGGATGAGTACTCAGTTTTCAGTTCAAGTTTGAATCTGAAACGCACATAGAAGTCTTATTCTTATTTATTGGGGGTGGGGGGTGGGGGGCTCGTGGCCTTGCACTCACTATGCAGCTGGGACGACACTGACCTTCTGATGTCGCGTGTTAGCTCCACCTCCGCAGCGCTTGGATTACAGGCATGCACCAGCCAGCCTGGCCCTGTGTGCCCTCACTGAAGCATAGAATGCAATACATGCAAACGTAACCAGGGGATCTTCACAGAAACCGGCCTCTTATTGCACACTCTCCAGGGTCTTATCCGTAGAGTTCATGGCTTCTATGTCAACTCAGAGAGTTACCTTGTTCTTCCTCATTGCCATAATTTGTTTTTTTGTTTTGTTTGTTTTTCGAGACAGGGTTTTTCTGTGTAGCTTTGCGCCTTTCCTGGAACTCGCTCTGTAGCCCAGGCTGGCCTCGAACTCACAGAGATCCGCCGGCCTCTGCCTCCCGAGTGCTGGGATTAAAGGCGTGCGCCACCACCGCCCGGCCCTTATTGCCATAATTAACGTAACTGGTCTCCAGTTGACAAGCCATGTGGGCTATTTTCATGCTGTTACAGTGAATGAATGACCTGAGGTACATTATTTCACATGTGTGCTCGTATGTGTAAACAACAGCAAAAATGGCAGGCAGTGGCTCCGCGCTTCATTCATTCATCTGAATGAATTGAATTTAAAAGTAAGTTGATGTCTCTAATAAGGATTCACTTGAAGAGTTTCCAGTTTCACTGACTCTCCCTGCCTCTGTCTTCTCATCTGGGAAATGGGAAGAGCAACCCTTGCCCCCGCAGATTCAGGGATGCATGCAGTTGAGAGCGGTCATTTTTCTGCATTTGAAATTCTTCCTATATAGGGAGCTTGTTTCTCTCTTTCCATCCATTTTCTGTTAGATTGAAAGGCTTTCTAAATAAGGATGTAGAAATTGCCATATTTTGTAGTCTTCTAACTCAGCAGTTTACTATGATCGAGGAAGGTTTTTCCTGCGATGTTTTTTGTTTTGTTTTCCAAGACAGGGTTCCTCTGTGTAGCCCTGGCTGTCCTGGAACTTGCTCTGTAGACCAAGCTGGCTTCGAACTCACAGATCAGCCTGTCTCTGCCTTGCACATGCTAGGATTAAAGGCGTGTGCCACCATCACCTGGCATCTTTTCTTTTACTCGGGGATGAATTTTTATTTTTACTTTTAGTTAATTTGTTTATTTTACTGTACTGGGCACGTCTGCTTTGTCTCCAAAATGAGAAACCCAAAAGACGGACAGTTTATTCACCCCTCTAGCATTTCATGACAACAGGTCCCATCACCTCTAAGCGCTAGCCCAACACACGGGACAAAGCCACCAAGGGAAGAAACATGGAGCGGGTGCTGAGGATCTGCCTCAGCAGATGATGAGTTTTCTCTTCCCAAAGTGGGCAGTTTGAGGGCCGGTGGGAACGTGACTGTCACTCAAGGGTGAGACCGTGAGGAGGGACTCCCTGGGCCCGCCAACGGGCGATGTCTCAGCCCAGCGGTACCACTGACATGGCAGCGTGGGTACCGGCCCGGGTGCAGGCTGGGGCAAAGGTTGGGAGCAGCCGCATCAACAGCTCAGGGGCTCCCCTGCGGTCACCAGCTCTGCCTGCTGTGGCTTTTCGGTTGTTCAGGAAACTGCTGAAGAAAGACAGAGGTTCTTGACGCAAATGCACACTGGAAGGAGACACCTTAAAAACACACTACCCCCAGAGTCTGATTTTGTTTGGTGTTAGATCCTAGGCATGTTTTTTTTTTGTTTTTTTGTTTGTTTGTTTATATATGTGAGTGCTCTTCTATGGGCATGTACACCTTATGCCAGAAGGTGGCATCAGATCCCATGATAGATGGTTTGTGAGCCACCATGTGGCTGCTGGGAATTGAACTCGGGTCCTCTGGAAGAGCAGCCAGTGCTCTTCACAGCTGAGCCATCTCTCCAGTCCTGTTTTTGTTTTTAACACTTCAAATAATTCCAGTGAACAGCAGCTGAGATTAAAGGCGCTGGGAGGGGGATTTCTGGACAGTGAAATCGCTCGTGTGACTCGGGAAAGAGAGAAGAGGGTGTCAGATGAGAGGAACCCCAACCTGTGGTAATCCGGGGAACTCCACCAAGGCCAGGCTGACCCACTGGCTTCCCGGCTTTTCCTAAGTGGCATCTGTTCTCAAGATGAAGAATGAAATCCTTGCCCTGCCTTGCGGGCTCTGACTCCGCCCCAACCTTCCCCCTTCTTTCTGCCTTTGCTCCATCTCAGCCTCTGTCCCACCCCCGGGGGTGCTCTGTGCCCTCCACCAGGTGACCTTGGCCTGTGACATCCCTCCTCCCTTCCCTCAGCAAAGGTCCACACCTGTACCATGCATTGCACACTGTGAAAAGCAAACACCAAGATGGGGGGGGGGGGACTGAAGCTCCCCGGGGTTAGGCTCTGCCTGGCCCGCTCGGCTCTTTAAAGTTGACACTTAAACTGAAAGAAGCTGACAAAGGACATGGGCTGGGAGTGGAGCTCCACAGCAGAGCCCTTGCCAGGCCCAGGCCGACATCCTGGTTATAATCCCCACCAGGTGGTGGTGGCGCACACCCTTAGCCGCACTCGGGAGGCAGAGGCAGGCGGATCTCTGTGAGTTCGAGGTCAGTCTGGTCTACAGAGCGAGTTCCAGGATAGGCACCAAAACTATACAGAGAAACCCTGTCTCAAAAAAAAAAAAAAGATAATCATCATCATCATTATTATCATCCCCAGCACCACTAAGAAAAAAAAGGCAATCAGGGTTCAGCTAAAGAAACTTTAGTCCATTTCCCCCGAAGGGCATGGACCGAGGGATGTTTGCATTTATCTTGTCTCATTATTCTTTGTGGTATGTAAACCCAACAGGAACGTGGAGATGAACCTGACTCTCATGAAGAACCGGGAGGACCCCATAGAGGGAATGATGAAGACGGCCAAGGTAGAGCCAGCTGGTGCTGGGTGTACAATCCTGTCGCTGTGATTACCCAGAATGCACTCTGGTGCTGCTCAGACCCGTTAACAGAGAACGGTCTTTGCACTTCCCCTCAGACTGTGCGCCGGAACTTAGAACGCTCTTACCGTCACAAGCAAATGCAGGAGACATGCTTTCTCTTCTTGGATTATTTAAAGCTTCCCTTCCTGCGAGAGATGCAGAGCGACGCAAGAGTAGAGACTTGAGGAAGTACAAAGCCACCCGCTCCCCACTCCCCCCCAGCACCTCCACTCCTCTGTCCTCCTGCTTTCGTGGAGATGTGGATATGCTGGTGAGGGGCCCGGGGTTCCATGCCTAGAGAGAGGTGAGCCCAAGGAAGCAGGACCCATGGTCTGTGGAGACCTAGCTGCTGCCTCTAGCTGGGAGGCAAGAATGCCTTGATACACCCGCCACAGTGGCGCATGCCTTTAAACCCAGCCCTCTGGAGACAGGCAGGTAGATCGTGGTGAGTTCAAGGCCAGCCTGGTCTACTGCTGAGTTCCAGGACAATCAGGGCTACACTGAGATCCTTTCTCAAGCAAACAAAAATGAATGCCTTGATGGTGGCTTCCTTAAAAACAAGTCTACGTTTGATTAGGTAGTAGTGGCTCTGTGGAATATGGAGCCAGGGACCATGGGCTTTGGAGGCACACATAGTTCGTAGCACAGAGACTGAATTCAACTCCAGGATCTTTTGCAGGGCAGCTGGGCACATTACTTGATGCTGCAGTCAACTGGAATTGGTCTCTGTCCATATTGCTTCTAGTTTTGTTCTTGGTTTTTGGTTTTTGGTTTTTCGAGACAGGGTTTCTCTGTGTAGCTTTGGAGCCTGTCCTGGATCTCACTCTGTAGACCAGGCTGGCCTCGAACTCACAGGGATCCGCCTGGCTCTGCCTCCTGAGTGCTGGGATTAAAAGCGTGCGCCGCCGCCACCACCACCTGGCGTTACTTTGGTTTTTGCTTGTGTGTTTTGAGACAGTCTCACTGTGTGACTCTGGCTGTCCTGGAACTCACAGAAATCCTCCTGTCTCTGCCTCTGGAGTGCTGGCGTTAAAGGTGGTTGCCATCACGCCGGAATCCTCATGGCTTCTTGCAGAAGTGGCATCGTGCCTGTGGAGGCACGGCTCACATTTCTAAGGGTGGGTTCCAGACCACACAGAAGCAACGTGCTTCTTGCTGCTATGCAAAAGTGTCCAGCAGAGGGAGCCCGTGGGCTGAACGCCAGCCTGGGCTCCGAAAGCTAAACCATGGGAAGCACCCAGGGACGCTTGTTTTCTTACTTGGCCCCATTTTAAAAGTCACAGGCGAGTCACAGTGCGCAACCCAGGCTGGTGACTTCAGGTCCGTGCTACTGAATTGAGCTTGGGGTGGGGAGTGGGCTACACTCAACCTTCACCACTCCATGCCTGGCATCCTCGTCTGCCCAGGCTGGCGGCATAAGCGCTCCTCTCTTCAGGCAGTGCACGCCTTTTAGTCCCTGGGAGGCAGAGGCAGGCGGATCTCGGACGTTACAGCAAATGAATACCTACCCTCTTGTGGTCACGACTTACCAGTCTACGAAACGACACTGACTCTCTGTCTCCATTAAGTTGAAGGTTTTGATCTTTTCCTGTTTCTTTCACTATTTATTTTCCATTGACATCCTGGTAAAAAAGAATCATTTTTATACTGATTTTATTTTTTTTTCTAAAGATGTTTTGGGGTTTGTTGTTGTTGTTGTTGTTGTTGTTGTTGTTGTTTTATATGTCTGGGTGTTTTACCTGCATGTATGTCCAGTCACCATGTGCATGGAACTGGAATTATAGACAGTGAGAGCCAACATGTGGGTGCTAGGAATAGACCCAGGTCCTCCGAAAGATCAGCTGCTGGCCAAAACCACTCTTAACCACTGAGACATATCTCCAGCCCTATCCTGACATTTAAAGATGTCACTCTTTGTGGGTATCAGACAATAACACATTAGGGTAGTGTGAGCCCTGGGTCGGTCAAGGTTCGAAGCAAGGATTCTTTTAACCCGAGGCCCTATCGCCTCCATATTCAGAGCCGAGTGGCATGAGCCAGAAAAAAAACAAAACAAAAAAAAAAAAATCTGACCTTCAGATCCTCCAGATTCTAAATCACACATTCAGAATGTGAACACTGACAGGGCCCCGAGGTCTCGGCCAAGTGCAGCGGGGGCTTCAGGCACCCCAGACCGTGGCCCAAACTGAGCGATGACTGAGTCAGGCAAACCAGATTTCCTGTCCCATGACATCAGGGCCCGCTCCGGCCGAGGTCCTCAGAGGCTGGCCAGACAGTCTCTAACGCAGTGAAACGCCACTGCAGAAAGTCACAGAAGGCATTTGCCTGCCCCCAATGACAAATGTTCGTTTTTTTAGAAAGGATTTCGGATCTTGAAAGGCAAGGAGGAGGAAGTACTAAGGAAATGCTTTGAGTTGCTTAAAGACCAATTCTCCCCTTTGGTCTTAATGGTCAAGTTGGGGTTTTTGTTTTGGTTTGTTTTGTTTTAGTTTGGTTTTTGTTTTTCCCTACTTTAAGTTCAGTAGTGATCTTCACAGTTTGTTATAAGGACTAAGCCAGAGACCAGTGTTGAGTGTTCGCAAGGCCCTGGGTTCACTCACCAGTACTACATACATTATACGCATGTTCATACATAAAATTTAAAAAAATGAATGAGCTAGTCAGAGGACTTAGAGTCTGCTTTCATGTTTCCACAAGGCAAGGCCATCCAATGACCTCCAAATCCAAGCAGACTAGGGAAATGGCTCTCGTCCCAAAAGTCCAAGGAAAGAATAAAACTTCAATTCTAGCTACTTCCTAGATCAATGGTCCTTAAACATTAGTGCACTTCAGAATTACCTGGAAGTTTTGTTTTTTGTTTTGGTTTTCAAGACAGGGTAACGTGTAGCCCCCACATAGCCCTGGCTGTCCTGGAACTCGCTCTGTAGACCAGGTTGGCCTCACACTCCGAGATCCGCCTGCCTCTGCCTCCCGAGTGCTGGGATTAAAGGCGTGAGCCACCACTACTGCCTGGCTTCGCCTGGAAGGTCTACAAAAGGCTGGAGTGGCACTCCCCTGGAATTCCAGCAATTGGAAGGCTAAGGTGTAAGAATTGCAAACCAAGTCCAGCCTAGGCTATGGAGACAGACCTGTATCCAAAACTAAATGAACAGGACTGGAGAGATGGCTCCGTCCTTGGGAGAGCTCTCTGCCCATTCAGAAAACCCAAGTTCAAGTTCCAGTACCCACAAAGGTGAAGAACAGCGGCCTGTAGCTCCAGCTCCCGTATATCTGTCGCCCTCTCTTCTGGCCACCGAAGGTACTCACACGAGGCATATACTCACACAGACACATAAATAAAAATAAATCTTAAAAATTTGATTAAAGGAGACAATATGAACAAAACCAACAATGGTGAAAAGCAAAAGATTTCTGTCCTTCTCTGAAACATTTTCAGTCTGGTTTAGATCTGGGTTGAGGCCCAGCAGTGTGCATTTTTAGTGAGTTTCCCCCCTTGATGCTGGAGGTTCAGGGACCACACTCTCAAACCACAGTCTTGAGACCTGTTTCTCACATTTGTTCCTCTGAATTTGCCAGGATCTACTTAATCTGTTTTTTGTTTTTGTATTTAAAGTAATAGGGGTTAGGGAAGGAATTGGTGAGCAGGCACTATTTAGAATATGCTTGGAATACCTGTCTCAGGGGGCTGGGACCAAGGCTCAGTGGGGACACAGTCAGTACCCCTCCAGCAGAAGATTCAGTACCTAGCACCTCATAAACTGAGTGTGGTGACACATATCTGTAATCTCACCAGAGAGACTGGAAGTTCAAGGTCATGCTGGCTATATAAAGAGTTTAAAGCCGCTGGGCGGTGGTGGTGCACACTTTTAATCCCAGCACTCGGGAGGCGGAGGCAGAGGCAAGCGGATCTCTCTGAGTTCGAGGCCAGCC